CCTATTTTCTTTCCTAATATCATGTTAGGACTATATATACTTGATCTTTGATCTTTAGTGACATGCTATGGTTTGTTATCAATCTTTTTAGTATCATGCCTAGGATCTTGCTATTATTATGCTTTATTTTTAACATGATTATTTTATTAATGATTATAATAATTGTTATTGTTATTATGTTGCTTGATATTTATTGTTATTGCTTGATCACACCTTTTATGCATGTTTAAAAGTAATTAGTACTTGTAATCACGCTTAATAAGATAATTAATAATCTTATTTAGGGTTAATATGATTATAATTCATGTGATCGCCAATAATAGTTTTGTTTGTGCATTAATATTCAACCAACAAAGATAAACAGGTTTAGGGTAAACCTATTGATTGCATGTTAGTTAGAAAGCGCACATGAATACGAAAAGAATAAAGTAGAGGCCTATTATTAGGGCAGGTCCAATCTCTTTTAGATTGGATTTGTACCTTCATCCCCGAACTTCCAGTTTTGGTTACAGGCCTGTTGGAGTTAACGATCTCCTGGATCGTTAAGTGGTGTAACCTTCACCCTGTGAACGGTTTACAAGTTCCTAAAACTTGTTGGCGACTCATTAAAACTTGTTGGCGACTCTTTTGCTCTAGCTTCCTTCCCTTTGGACGCCACCGTACTTTAGTGTATGATCACAGTGGGGTTCAAGTTTGGGGTAATGCTTGAAATATTCCCTACAAGGGCGATCTTCTTCATGGTACCTTCTCAAAACTTTAGCTTGAGTGTAATTGTTAAGTAGTTACCCATGTTTTTACTCATGGCCATTTACCATAAAATTAATTAGAGGTTCCGAACCTTTCAGAACATTGTCAAATACTAGAGAACTGTACACGACGTTAAGATCATTAATTACAAGAGCTAGGGATTTCAAAGAATGCATGCCAAATCCATAAATCTTGATTTACAACGGCTTCCAAAATGAGTGTAGCCTTCTTGGTATGGCCTTCATATTGTGTTTTCCAAGCCATGGGACTATTTTTCCACTCCCAATGTGTGACACATGCCATTAGCATGTTGTCCCATTGTGTTTTAATGATATTATAAATTATATAAAGGTTTTAGAAAAAAAATTGAGAATGGAAGTTTTTGGAGTGAGAAAATGGAGAGTGAAAGTTTTAGAGAGAGAACAACAATGGTTTGTAATATTAAAATTATTTTTAATTCACAAAAATGATTTTAGAATGTGGTGTAGGAATATTTACCTACATTAGATTGTAGGTACTAGTATTTATTTAGATTACTTATTTTTGTGCTTTTTGGGTCCTCGAATGGCAGTGTTATGGTGTTTTTCCATCTTGCATGGATGAACCAACTACCTTTGTTCATATTATGGCCCAAAAAAATTCACAAATACAAGTATATACATGAAGCAAGGAAAATGTAGGTCGTTTTCTACCCTTTCCTAGAGCCAAACTAAATTTGTAAATACTCAACCAACCTAACATGAGTATATGGTAAGTCAAGGGTCGAACCCAAAGGAATGAGTAGATGTAAGTTATAGCCTAGGTCAAGCTACTTCAAAGATTGTAGAAGGTTATGGTTGGTACCTAAGGTATCGAGAAAACTAGATAAATCGAGAAATTCAATATACTAAAAACTAGGGATATAGGTTCCACATGCAAGCTCAATGATTATGCTAATTGATGGATCACTCAATCAATTCAAACATTACAATTGCAATCGATGGAATCTAAAAGCTATCTCCTATAAACCAAACTAGGGTTCACTGTGAATGGCAATCAAGGAAAATCACAATCAAATTCAATCAATTGAAGCAATTCTCAAATCAAGGGTTCATTTCGTTGAAAATTGCAATGCAATCTAGATTAATCTTATAGGTTGATCACTCTTAGTCTAATTAATTACATGCACAACTATGTCAAACCATTTAATTGCAACAATTCAATCAATCTAGGATCATCAACTAGCAAAAATCATCAATCAAGCATGCTTCCCCTTCTCCCTAGCAACTAATCTACTCACTAATCATGGTGAAATTGAAAAACAAAACAAATTCAATCACAAACAGATTCATTTCAAATTTAATCAAGAAGAAATTCAATCACTCAACAAATTCTAAAGCAAAGAATAAAATTCAAATCAAACATTCAAGAATTAAAGGAAATTGCAATAAAAAGGTTAGTTCAAAGGAAAGAAATCTCACAAGTTTTCATTGAATTGAAGAAGAAATCTAAGATCAATTTGAAATCAAAGGTCAAATTCAAGTACAATCAAGTAATCCTAAGCTTCTCTCTCTACTGTCTCTCTATACTATTTCTGGAAAATAAGTGTCGAGTACAAAATAAGTCGTCCCCCCCCCCAAAAAAAAAAAGGAAAAGTCAAAAGCTATAAATAGAAAATCGAGCGAAGGCAAACGGGGGCCTTGGTACGTGCGCACCACCCAGGCCGCACGCGCGCACAGCGGCATCTGCGCGCACGCATAGTGAGGTTCGCGCCCGCGCCCCTGCTGTGGTGCTTGTGGCCTGCCTCCTTCGCTTGCTCGATCGATCTCCACGCTCTCGAGCATCCCTATCATTGGTGCACTCGAGGCGATGCCCGCAAGTAGGGCAACTCTTTTATCTTCCAAGCACTTGAAAACTTCGAGCCAAAGCATTGCTTCCAAGGTCCTTGTGCTTGTGGAGCTAGCTTGAATTGCATGTTTGGATTCCCAAACATAGCTCCATCAACCTCCTTGAATGCGCTCGATCTTCCTCCTTGGTAATCAAACCTCGGGAAACTCAACACACTTATAAAACACGACATAGAAGACTAAAAGTATAAAACTACAAAGAAAACCTAGCCTAAGAGTGCCATAAATGACACTTATCAATACATTTGCTTCGAAAGTTGTTGAAGAAAGCTTTCTAGACTAGGGATGGCAATAGATACGGACCCGATCCGCATCCGAGGATCCATATTCGTTTTTTACGAATATGGGTCTTCAAAATCTAGACTCAACGGATCCGAGTCGAATGATCCGGATCCCTTAAAATAAAACGGATCTGGGTACGGGTCTAAACATGATACCTTGACCCGAATTCGTTTACTCGTTTTTTTAATCAAAGTTTTTTTTTGACTAATTTCAAGCCAAGCCTTCATAAGAACCGCTTCAGTTTTTTACCAAAACTTTGTTCTTCCATTTTGATTGCCTCCTTCATGACCTCCTTCATTTTCTTCAAATTCTAGTTTGACGTCGCTGTTTGATGCATTCGATGTCTATGAGCAATCGAAACTCAAAAATGCTCCTTTACTTGTGACATTAAAAAAATGTTGAGATACGGGAAATGTCGAATCACCTTGAGAAATCTGAATAGTCTTCAAAGATGGGATAACACTTTGAAAATATGAATACTTAGGATTTTGTGGTGGTTGAAAAGAGAATTGAGTGAAAGTACTTGAATTTGAGACATTGACATTCTGTGAACCATGATTTTTTATTTTTTTTTTTGACAACATGAATTATAATTTAAAAATTGTTGAATGTGAATTTAAATAAAAATTGCTGAAAATTTGTATCAGAAAATGAGTTGAGATTAATTGGAAGGTTAGAATAGGAAGTTTGAAGATTCGAAATTTTTTGGGATTGCGATGAGTTTTGAGATTTTGTGGGTTTTTTTTGCTATTAGATTATCGAATATGCTTTGAACAAGATTTGAACCTATAACCTTTGATTCATACAAGCGATAATTTACCATCTCAACCAACTTTTTTATGTTTTAAATTTCACAAAATAATATATTTCCCTTTCATTTATTAAGTAAATTAGAGGTAATATATAATTCATTTATTTTTCATAAGACAAACAAAAAGATACATATGATGTAAAAAAAAAGTGACACTCGAGGCAACGCCCGAACCACCACACACACTAACTATACAAATAGTCAAACATAATAAATAAATTACAGAATTACACAAACTAGCAATCTGGATCATCGTCTGAGGTGCACACTAGTTGTATATTTAACTTATGATTGTTGAATTACAACGGTTATAATTTCTAAATGCATCTTGACCATTGATCAATGCATTGTGTGTCAAAACCTCCCATTCCCACGTCACTAGATAATAAATGAGGAAAGGAATCCAATGAAAGTTGGCAGTTGCCATTTAGCACTATATTTTAGTGTATCCAAACCAACACTTGAGAAACGATTATAATCTCAACTAGATTATTGGTTTAATTCTCCTTTGATTTCTCTCTCTACATTTTTTATTTTTACAACCTTTCTCCTAATAACCACCCCAAATTGTTAATGGCTAAGGATAATTAAAGGTGGGCAACGGGTCGTGCTGTGCCACAGTGGTGGGCGTGTTGTGCCGTGTCGTGCCTAAATTTAACACACTCCAGCCCACGGCACGGCCCATGTGCATGGCGGGTCGTGCCGTACCGAACTGCGGGCCAAACCGTGCCAATTTTTTATATATATAATAAATATAAATAAAAAAACGATATATATATTTTTTTTTAGTACAATTTAATTTTATATAAATGATGTTATTAATTTATGTTTATGTCAATATTAATATATTTTGTTTTGAACAACTTTATTTTAATCAAGGTTATATAAATTGTTTATCTAATTATGTTTAAGTTTATATAAATAATTTTATTAATTTAGCAAAAAAACAACAATACATATAATTAATAAAAAAAAAAAAAAAAAGTGTCGTGTCCGGCCGTGCCGGCGTGCCGACCCACGGGTTGGCCACTGTGCCTCGTGCCGTGCTAATTCCCAGATTTGTGTTCACGGCACGGCCCACGACCGCCATGCCGTGCTGGAATCGTGCCAACACGGCCCGTGCCCATCTTTAAGAATACTCTTAGATTCGTACTCCGTAATAATGTATTTTTATCAACATAAAAATTTTAAATGTTTTGCTGTACAAAATTAGAAATATTAATGTTTTAAGATACTAAGATGTATCTTAAAAAAAAAAAAAAAAAAAAATTAGGGATAGAAATAGTAGTATTACTATGAGACAATTATGTAGAGTAAGACAAATTTTGATACATGGTGTTATTGGTGGAAATAAAATGAAACGTAATAAAATGGCTTGGATAGGTTTCCTTGTACCAGTTAGTAATCATCACATTTCACACTCTGAAAACAAAGATTCTACAAGACTATAACAATAGTCACCACAGGTCTACAAGTATAAAAGTGTGTAAAAGAGTTTCTATACACGAAGTATACAAAAAGGGTTGTCATTTCACAGCTACAGCAAATCAGTAAGAGCTTTGTACAAGTGACTCTAGGCTTTTGACCTACTTCTAGTCTCCATGCGATTTAGCCACTTCTTTCTGTACCTCCAAGCGACTTGAATCGTTGTTGCAGCTTGGCATCTATAGTACGGGGATTCATACCTGAAAATAAGAAGGCGTTATGCTAAACTCATGCTAATAACCAAGGCAGCATTAATTCCTGACTTTCGTTGTGTGTGTGGATGGGGAGAAAGTAGGAAGCCTTAAGGAGCAGTAATTTCTAGAAATGAAACCAAACGATGAAAACACACAATGACAAACTCGAAAGGGAGGTCATCACACCAAATTCTTCTACTATTATAATTCTATGGCACACTAGACAACTCACCAAGATACCAACAGGCAAAATAGCATCAATCACAAGATAATAACTACACCAACCCTCTTCCTGCGAACTACTCGCATCACACTTAAAACAACAACTCTCAACAATCACATCCCACTTGAGCAAAATATCATCAATCACAAGATAACAACTACTATAAAGCTCTTATCCATGGTAATTTGCCTTTTCCAGCTAATTTTTGGGTCCCAAGAGATGGGGAATTGCCATAAAGTGTCCACACTCACTTCCGAGCTAGAATCCCATAATGGAAAAAAGAAAATTCTCTTCACAGCTCTAAATTGGAACTTTACCCATTCGAGATGAAGAAAAGCTGTGCCTAGCAAGAAGGTATAATAATAATTAAATTAACACCTGGGCAAACAGAAAGCTCGATCCTACAAACCTGAGAATTTGCTGCAAAGCAGTAGTTGGGATGTTTTAAATGTCAAGTGTTTACTGGAAGTATAAAATCTAAAAACTTTTCACTCAAACAGGTACCTATATAGAACACCCAAACCTGAGTCTTGGTAACACAGAAACCGATTTTGCAAGTAACATATTGTTCCAAAAAGGACCACTTTAGGTAGGGTAGTAGGGCCTTTGTGCTCAAAGACTAATACTTTCTCCTTTAATTTTCTTTTAGGGCGTGCTTTCTCTTCTCCTCAGCAATGAAACTGCATCTCCAATTTGTAAACAAAAATTTGGACATTGTCTTCATTGTCAACCTCACCTAATCACTAAACGGCATTATTATCCTCAAAAATTTATGATATTAATTTAGCATGTGAACATTTGGTCCCAGCTCTTTGTTATGCCCAAATTTCAAAAGGAGGTGGAGTCTTGCTGCATAATGTTTCTCGGGATGAATAGCAATGAAGCTCCTAAGAAAAGCTTCAGTCTCTTTGAACACAGTTAGTATGCCTTTACTGCACAAAGTTTATATACGAAGAATCTCTATCTTTGAGAGAATGAATCCACTGTTATTATGAGAAGAGATCTACAGTCTACTGAAGGAAACTTGCAAGTCCTAGATGATGAGAATGATTTTGGGTTGTCTATCCAATATTGATGATATTGGTGGTCGGACCTGTCAACAAGCTGGCTAGGGATCTTTATTAAGTATCTCTATCCTGCTGAACAGGAGTAGTTATCTTAAGTAACCTGGAAGAGGCTTATGTGCGATAACAAAAGCTAGTCCAAAGAGTTTATTAATCCAATGGCCTGTTCAAAACAACTGCTACTACTGACAGACTCTTGCAGTGCAATAACGTAGCTTGTGATTACACTTGTTCTCTTTGTGGGGCACTTATTTTTTTTTGGCAAAATCTTGTCATGCTGGTATTTGGCATCGGGTGTTATCTCTACCTAAATTTGCTAGACCAATTCAAAGTTTTTCTGAAGTTGCTATAGCAACCAAAGCCTGCAGAAAATAAATTGTTCTTTCTCAGATTGTTTTTTCTGAAACTATAAACTTTAGAGTGCTTTTTCAGATGGTGTGGTCTGGTGCTGAGTTTATTGGCTGCTGATTATAGTCTAGCTTTGATTTTTTCTTCATTTAGTATATGCCTTAGAGAAGCTTTTGTTCAGTTTTGACCTGAGCACATGTAAAGCTTCTTCCCCACCTTTATTCTACACAAGTGAGGGGGAGAGAATTTAAATAAAAATAATTTTGTTGTACAAAATACAGACATGTTATTCTAAAAAGAGCTCATGGACTTCAAGTTGACATGATAAGGGAATATATGCCTCAGAGCAATTATTTCGTACTTAATTAGCATTTCTCACATAAATATTTAAAACTAACATACCCAGGCATTGAACATATTTTGTAACAAAGCCAACTTTGCTAATTACGTACTCATCAAGAAAAAAGTATTGATGTAAACAAACCTTATAGCTCCCTGGATTCTTGGATTTCGCAAGATTCTTGGAAACAAACTTGTGACTTCTTCAAGATCCCGAACTCTGAGTATAAAAGCTTCAACATTTGTTAAACATCTTGCAGTCCTGTTGCTCCTTAACCACTGTCCATATATCCTACCTTTCTTGCCATCTAAAACAAAATTCAATTGACATACAGATTATCAGTAGGTTCAAAAAAGGAAAGAAAAAAAAAAAAAAAAAAAACTTATGGTGATTTTATCACCACATAGAGCAAGAGTTAAAATGTGAGACATTTGTAAATATTTCTTCAAGTGCATTGAGTACTAAAAGTCAAAAGCAATAAAGCCCGAGAACCAGAATAAATACAGTTCGGTAGCATTGAAATATGTTTAAAAGTAGGTGGAACAAAGTGAGTAACATTAGAAAAGAAAATGAGTAGTCACACACCAATTGATGTTGAAGATTATAGTGTAAAATACACAATACTCAAGACCTCCCCCTCCCCCCCCCCCCCCCAACAACCCCCTCCCCCCAGACACAACCAAAAAAAAAAGTCTCCACAAACTATTCTTCCTACTTATTGTGGACCTACCCTGCCAAGGAATATGAATGAAGTAGTGTATGTGCTTACTTGTTCTTACTTTTTTTAATAAGGGGAAAAAAAAAAAAAAAAAAAAAAAAAAAAAAAAACTAGTCCTACAAAGTGAGCCAAATTGGGGTAAGATTAGTCTTTCATTAACAACAATAAGGAATAAAGAAGTGCAAAAAAATTTCAAGTAACAACCCAAAACGAAAAAGTGGGAAGATATTTATGGAACAGAGGGAGTATGATGTATCGTTCCCATCGGTAAATACAACTTCATACCAGATTCGAAGTTTACAAACTAAGGATATCAAAAGAAAGGTAAGAAGATATTTCCACAATCGGGCAGGGGGAATTAAAGTAACTATGATGTCAGATATGGTAAGACAACATACTATACCAATCACCAACAAAAGAGTAAAGGTAGACCTCTATTATCTGAAGAATGCTCAAGGCACCACGTAAGAAGCTCTTCACCGCACACATCTCCTTCAGACAAGGGAACAACAATGCCATCCTCTCCAATGCTTTCCATTTTACCTCGTACAATGAATACCATCTTGTCTATAATACCTCCTTGATATAAAATTTTGCTGTCCTTGATGTATGTCTTTTGTTTAAGCCTCTCGTAAACAGCATCTAAAATAGGCTCCTTCTCATCCACCAATTTAAAAATTCGAACCTGCAGACAAATTTTTGATACAGTAGATTGTGTAAGATCTTGTTTTGTTCTACTTAAGTGAAGATAAATCAAGATTATGAATACTGATGTAAATTTCATTTGAGAAAAGGAACAAGATTTACTAATGAAATGATACTACATAAACTCTGGATATTACAAGATTTACTACTTAAGTGACAAATTGGGATAAACCTCAAAAAAATACTCACATACCAATATATTCCATGGCTGTACTGATAGACTTGGGAGTGTTTAAAATCTCTACTATTCCATACCATTACATTAGTGCCTAAACATTGCTCTAGGTCAAAGAAGATGCCAAAATTGTGTAGCCTTATTTTCACTATGACCTGGTTGCATACATAGTCCATGTAAGATATATATAGGCATAATCCTTTTGGTTATTTTTATCCTAATTTTTGCTAAATGTATTTGATTATTTCACCAAATAAGGATAAGAAGAAAAAATAAAATAAAAGAGGATGATTTTATAAAGGACCTAAACCCAAAATCCTAAGTTTTTTTGACCCACTTTGCATAAAATTTCAAAATGGCTGCAATTAGATATAAACAATAGTCATCTTACAGGTACAACATTAGAGAGGTTGTTATCGCTTATCTAACCCAGATCCACTTACGTGACTTATCCCTTCAACTAAATAATAAGTAAACAACAAACTACAGAGAATTTCATGTAGTCCACAGTAATCCAAAGTTGAAAACTTTCTTTACAAACAAGACATATGTGCTTCATTAGCACATCCAACATCAAACTAGGTTCTATACGTTACCTTGAAAGTTTGCAATTCTTAGATGCAAGTATTTACGTGAGGAAGTAATTATATAAAAGACATGTTAACACAAGTGTGTCTAGTTTTAGGACACTGTCCCTTACCTAGAGCAGTCGATTCAAGTAATCGGGTCGGGTTTGAGATGGGTCAATGTGGGTCGGGTCAACTAGGGTCAGGTGAATATCATTTCCTTTGCGGGTCGGGTTCGGTTGGGTTGATGTGGGTCGGGTCATATTGAATCATACATCCTATCGGGTTTGGGTTGAGATCAGATTGGGTTAATAACAGATCGGGTTGAATTTGGGTCAGATTAACAACAGGTCGGGTTAAATTCGGGTTTCATTAGGTTATAACGGGTTATAGTCATTCTCGGGTTCAAGTCATCTTAAAGTTGGGTTATGTCTGGTCGGGTCTCGAAAACCTAGGTTAACTCGTGTCTCGAGTTGGTTTTAGGTTGGTTCAAACACGTCAGGTCATGATCGGGTTCAATTTAAATAGAAATATTCTAACACTTTACTATTGAACTTCTCATGGTAACTCGTTGGCACAAGCACATATCGGACACAAATTGTCATTAAATTTATATAATATTATCTTATATTCTTATTTGCACAACAAACATCATATTCTTAGTCGGTAACTATATAACTATATATGAATAAGGTGGTCATGATAAATTTGAGGTGATTTGAAATCAGGTTAGGTCAATAACAGGTTAAGTGTGAGTTTGAGATGGGCCAGAAACATGTCGATTTGAATTTGGTCGGGTCAATAACAAGTCAAGTTGAATTTAGGTTAGGTTAGTTACACGTCGGATTAAATTCAGGGTTTAACGGGTTAAAATAGGTTTGGGGCAAACACAGTTCAAGTTAGGTTTGATTTAGGTTAATAATTTACAGGTTATATTCACGTTGGGTCATCTCTAAGTCGGATCATGATCGGGTTCGGGTCTCAAATACTCGGTTAACTCTGGTCTAGGGTGTGTTTCAGGTGGGGTCATATTAGATTCGGGTCATCATTTTCTCGGGTTTAAACAAGTTGGGTCATAATCGGGCACGTGTAAATTCTTCGGCTCGAGTCAGCTTTTGACAACTCTATCCCTACCTCCCCATGTCTTCTATACAAATTCCAAGTTTCCAACGGATATTTACGTGTACAATAACCTTAGTTTTAAAAGGCGCAAGACACACCAAGGCGCAAATGGTCCTTGCAGCCTAGGCGCAAGGCGCAAGGCAAAGGCGCACGCCTTTTGTAAGCAAGGCGCATGTATTTATATATTTATTTCAAATTATCTTTTACTTTAATTGTACTTAATGACAATTAAAAAGATTCATAATAAATTACATAATGATATACGTAAAACTAAGGTCGTCTAAATTTGAAAAAATGTCCATCATTCTTCAATTATAGCTTAAATCTTAGTTATTTACCTTGACCGTAAGTGACTGAGCCTCCCTAGCTAAAGCCAAATTCCCATGGAGCGAGGCGCGCTCGCGCGCTTCTTAGAAACCAAGACTATAACTCGTATCCTTGTGTGAGTAACATAGGGTCTAAAGAGCTAATAGTGCCTTATCATTTTCAAATCTTGCACATAAAAACTTGAAGTGTTGCTTTAGACAGTGAAGAATTTGGAGGAAATGGAGGGATTAGAAAAATTGTAATACATCCACTTCATAACCCTACTATTTCTCTCTTTTGTTTATGATTTACAACGCTTCGATCATGCACTCAAGAGCATGATGCATATCATGCACCCAAAAGATCACAATTCAAAGTTAAAGAATATTACGGAAGCAAGATGAGCAATTTGCACTCGCGTGTAGCACCTAAATTGCATGTGATTTGGATTACAAATACATGAGATCAATCAAAACTTTGAAGGTGGACCCTTCTTTACCCATCCCTTTAGTATGCTCCAGAGTTGCTAGACGAGAAGGTAAGTAATAAAAGATAAGAAGGGTTACGTATTTAGAAAATATGTTGATACCTCCGAATAATGCCCTGTCTCTCTCTCTCTATTCCCCTCCCTCCCTCCCCCCCCCCCTCCCCTCTCTCTCTTTCTCTCTCCATTTCTTTATAAGTTAAAGATGTAAAACAAAAGAATAGGGGTTACTTGAATAAACTTTCTTTCTCTCTCTCCATTTCTTTATAAGTTAACAAATGTAAACAAAAGAATAGGGTTATTTGAATGAACAAATGTATTAGTTTTTAAATAAATTGATATTACTCAATGAAGCACGGAAACTCTTAACTTTAGCCACGTATCGTTTCCAAAACGTTTCCGAAACCTCTTACGTTTCGAAACCCGTTTCGAAACGGCTCATGGAGTTTCCTTGTTTTGTGAAGCGTCTCGCATAATTTAATAGTTCGAAAACCTGTGGGAAACTTAATTAAGGATATAAATAAGCGTTTCCCCTTTAATGGAAAGCAATTAAACCCTTATATTCACAAATTACGAGCCGTCAACCAGCATAGTTATTTGAGTTGTTTCTATAATTGTCATTTCCATGCTTTGAAGATCCATGTTTGCTGCCATCACCGCCTAGCTAGAACAAAGTCGATCTAACTACCACCGAACGATTTCACTAATTTGATGTTTTTCTTGTATTTAATTTGGAAAAAAAGGAGTTCTTGCAATTTACAGAACGAGGTATCAGTTTGTTTTTATTTTTTTGCTAGTTTATTTGGTATTTTATTCTGATTAAATGTATTTATTTATGTATTTTTAATGTGTCCCCGTTTCCCATAATTTTAAAATTTCCGTTTCCCCGATTCCCCGTTTCACCGTCTCCGTTTCCGTTTTCCGTTTCCGTGCAACATAGATATTACTCATATAATGAATTTGGGTTACTTTTACGGACAAAATGGGGTACTTTTATGAATAAATTGGGTTTCTCACACGAATCAGCATGGTATAAAAATGCGGCCATTACGTTGTGAACTGATCGATTTGTAACATATTTTGAATTTACCGATCCGATATTTACCGTTTTAGCACGACATTTTTCAAAAGGCTGAGATTTTGGCCGATACAGCCGATACGAAATTAATCTTGTCCGCATGGAACGTTATTGACTTAAAATACAGTTAATTTCTAGAAGAATTACTCATTTTGTAGATAAAAAAAAAACAAGGAGAAACTCCATTGAAACTGATGAGTTTCTTAGATTAAAACCAAAGAGAGAGAGAGAGAGTAAATAGTAGGTCAGCTGTAACAAGGTATCACATGTAAGTTGAAGTAATGGGTTTGGTAGGCTGTATTTATTTATTTAATTAATATTTTATTTTATTATAGAGTAATATAAGTTGGTTGACAATAATGGGCCAATGGTCACTTGCTATGATAGGTGGCCTTTTATTTTTTAAATTGTTGTGAATGAATAAACAAAAAACAAACAATCTTAAGACTATTAGGAGTAATACGGACTTATGGTTTTGGTTTAAAGGTCATAAAGTACGGAGTATAATAATTTACTATAAAACCCGTATAAAATAAATTAAAATCCTAGATTATAACATTTGGATTAATAAATTTTAAATAAAATTCTACCGCCACAACCACGACCCGGTCCACGATCAACACATCAATACAGTTACCGTGATACCACAACCGTTCCCGCAATTGCAACTGAGACCACATTTTTATACTATGCGAATGTGTACAAATTATTTTTATAAATTAATGTGGCCACACCGTGTGATGGGCACCACACAAGATATACCATTATCTCAAACTGATTAGAATAAAATAAAATAAATAGATGCTCTTTGAAAAAAATAGTAGGAAAGTTGAGAAACATGAGAAATTCTACACTTCCTACCTTTATAAGATCTATTCCATCAACAGTAACATATCTTACCTTTTCAACAAACTTAAAGAGGTGGCGTCTTATTTCTCTTTGAACATCTTCCGGAAGATTTTCCATCAACATCTCCTCATTTACACCCCTAGTGGCAGCCCAATTGTAACGTTCTGCTTCTATGATTTTTCTGCAGTAAAGAAATCCTGAATTAGTTGACTGCAGGTAGCACAACCAACCTTTTATTGTGTGTCAGTACTAGCAATTTGATAATAATATCAGTGCATATATATCATCGACATTCTCCATATTTCTCCTTTCTTCTACACCATCCAAACATCTAGTAAAAATTATAAAATGTCCATAAGCTCGAAGTGATTGTAAATTTTTGACTTGTAAAAAGCAAGGTTGTTGGATCACATGCCAGGATGGACATACATGTTTAACATACAATACATTTTGTTTGTTTGTGTCAAGTACATCTTTTCCATGAAATATTTATTCCCGTTTTAGCATATTCGATCAAAATGTTTTTTTGGTTTCTCTATACAAAAAGATCGAAAGAGAGGAAATGGTGTTTAAAGAGATGCAACCAATCGTGACCATTGACTTAACAGGCAATTGCACAGCTACGAAAGCTGAACTTCAGTAGGCAACTAAGGTCTTGAAAATTTTCTTTGTATTTTCTTTTTCCCCTATAGGCGGATTGAATTGATTTGTATATATCTTTTTTTTTTTTTTTTTTTGACAAAATTTGTGTATATCTTGAGATTCAGTTTAGGTATTAGGGAATTTTTTCCTGAAATCCACTACTCGCATCTATAAATTCCTATAGTAGTAATTGTTACTTAGCCTCTTCCATCTACTAGTAATGATCATAAATACCGGTTTTAATTTTTTGTTGCATATTCATGAATCATGATAATTTATTTCAATTACAGGTAAAATTTATTGGGTGGATAAAAAATTGCATGACCAAAAAGAGAACTTAATTTATTGGATTGTGGATTCATTGTATATGACACTTGAAATTAGTATTATAAATGTTATATGCGTTTTATTGAAATAATTATGCCTTAAGTAAATCTTTATAAAAAAATAAATTGAAAAAAAAACCATTAAATTTTTTGCTATCTTGATAATATGAATAGTTCTTACTGGTTCACCTGTTAAGCTGTTAACTACCTAACAACCACCAAATTGACAGAAACTTCGTAAAATTAACAGTGTGGTGGTAACCCATAGAATAGACTATATCGAAAACTTACTTTTAACTGAATATTACCCATAAAAATACCCTATAATTTACTTTTAATCTTTGATAGCCAAGTACTCCATATGAAACATTCAGTTTCACCCTTTAATATTACCCATAAAACACCCTATAATACCTATGAGATAAAGACATTCGACATAAGCTCAAAAATCTTCTCCAGCAACCTAAGTAATGTAATTTTTTTTTGACAGTAGTCATATTGCGGAGAGATAGTACAAACCTTGACAAGCTTCTTCCACAAGAAAAGTTTACTCTTTTCTATCTCTTCAAAGTTCAAACGTCAAGTTATGAGTAAAGTAAGAATACCTTCTTAAGTTCTGAGGCAAACGGCGATGGCTCATCCACTGCTCAACATCACGCCTTCTTAGTGACATCTCCAACCTTCTGTAAGAAGAATTACATAAAAGGTAAACTAAAGTAAAATTGGAATCACCAGTCATGTTTTAAGCATCACTTGAAAGATAAATCTAGATCAAAGTAGCTATTACTGTCTTTTCTAAGCTCCAAAGGACCCCAATTCCCTAATGTTCTCATCATATTCATGGCTGTGGTTGAAATGTAAGTCGAGTGACAGTGTAGTATTGAGCTCAGCAATATTTCAGGGGACTGCATGAAATATGAGAAAGGAATCTAGGTCACAACAGAAATTACTATGCAACAACAGATATGTGCAACTCAATTTAATATAACTTTCCATAGGGATTGACCGGTTCAACAATAAGCATTGCTGCAGGAAAAAGTTTGCCAATTTGCATCATTATAAACAGTTGCATCCTAAGCATGTATAGACGTATATTACATGTCTATGACCATCTTACAACATTCAAAGGGCCAAACCGAAAACATCCATGTGCATAAACAAAATATATATATAGATATATATATATATATATATATATATATATATATATATATATATATATATATATATATATATCAAAAGAAAGAACAGTAGTAGGAGCCAAGGGAATATTGTAAGCTTACCTACGGCCAAGAGACTGTAAGAAGTTCTGCATATTTCCAATCAGTAAAGCGAAGAGTAGTAAACCAAGCCCAATAATAGCCATGGTAAAAAGAACCTCCCAAACAAAGTAGCTTGGTTCAAGATTCCCAGCCAGAGTACTGATTTGCTGCATAACCCCACATGCTAATCAATTTCAGCCTTTGATAATGTTGTGAGTGTTGACTTTCCAATAGCAGCATAATCATATTGTAGAGAATCAAGCTAACGAAAGTACAGTAGGAATCTGAGTTCATAACTCCATTCTCTTATTGTGCCAAAGTAATTATATAGAGCATATTAGAAACTCACAGAAAAAACTTTAAATAGAATGCGGAAGTACTTGTTAAAAACAAAAATACATAGTTCATTTGACATAAGCTTCAAAGTTATGCATTCCACAAAATGGAAAAAAACGTGTACCTAGCCCCCCTAGGTCAGTGGAACTTCTAACGAAACCTCCTACAACTAATAAACAGAGTTAGCCAGTTTGCAAAAAAATTTAAATCTAATTCCATTCAAAGGTATATGCATGCATGCATAACTGCCTTCATGACAAATATATGAGTGTATGTATGTATGAATGCATGCATGCATGCATGGTTATAGTATATATACACAGGTTGTATGTGTATACAGAATATCACTGAAGGAAGATATGACAATGAGAGAATTCAAACACGTAATCAAGCATGACACCTTTAGAGGTAATGTTGGCACTAGGCAAGAAGAAAAGAGCTAATAGACATAAGGTGACAAAAAAATTATGTGTTCACTAGCCTTCCACAACAAACGTTCATTGGTCTCTACAGAAATCATTACAGCATGCAAATATTACACACCAAACCATTAAACATACATCTTCGCATTTAGCTTAAGATGAGTAAAGATTATTCCCACCAATCAAGTTTAATTTATTTAGTTTCACTGGGGAAATAATAGCCTTTGTCATCTTTTGACAATACCTGGTGAGGGCATGAGAAAGAGAGAGAGTAGAGGAGAGGAGATGAATAATAATGGAGCATGAACATAAACAAACATGTCTTATGGCTAACAATTGATGCAACGATAGGATGATGGTGAAGATGTGCATCAAGGATTATTGGGACCAAACTAGTTGAGGACCAATCCACAGTTCACCGGCAGTTTGATACTAATCCAATTTATACCTTCAAGTTTTTAGCAGCAGAGATAATGCAAAAGAAAATTTAAAAATATAAAACAAAATAAATAAATAAATAACAATATATATATATACATATTAAATAAGAAAAAAAAAAAGGAACATCGGAATTCAGGATGCCTATAATGTTCATGGTTCCATTATTCTCATTAATAAATGAAAAAAAAGCAGTGAATCACACACTTTGTGAGAATTACATACCTGGAATCCCCAGAACAAGGAATATATATATCTGCTCACAACTTTGCGATATGTAAGGTTCACTGCTTTTGCATAGATCCCATAATCAAAAGAACCATCTGAGCTGACAAAACAATCAAGAGCATTTGTATTATTGGTCCAGTTAGGCCACTCTGAATTCCATGCATGCTGCTTTGGATTTGAATATCCACAATCAATGAACTTCATACATGATGAACTATTTCCAGTACGGTGACAAGCATCTCGCAGGCATTGATTCACTCTCTGTAACAAGGGAAGAAGAAAAGTAGTTGGAATTTGTCAATACTCAATACATTAACCAATTAATTAATCTATACCTAATGTACAAAAATTCAAACCCAAAATTATGTGCCATGCGCTCATGAATTCCCACGTGTTTCTTTATAATTTTGCGAAAAAAAAATTAAAGGGGTAAATGGGTAATGAAGATCATTAATAGATGTTCCAACTTTTTTTTTCCTCATAATTCATACTCTTCCCACTTCCCTTCCTTTTCTCCTTCTCTTACTATGTTATAGTCTTTCTCCATCTCTTCCTTCTATTAATATAAGTCAAGAATTGAGTGGTCACGAGAATAGTTAAACAAAAGCTATGATAACAGAAAATTGGTTTATCTCTATTTTCATAAACCAACTCTGCATGTGCATGTCACTTAGTGCCATTCACTACCAGTCTCAAGCTCAGATGAAGGAGGAGAAAAAGGATATAAAATAAACTTTCCAATTACTTTTCCAAGCTAGGTTGATCCTCCTGCTGATCTAGGTTACTAGAAAAGGACTCCCAGTAAGTTTTGAACATGCATAGCAACCCCTTAATCTCAGTAGAAAATGACAAGGATTCAAGCTTTTGGCTGTCAAATCAGCAAATTTGGGGATTGACTTTCTATTTCGAATACATTTACCTTCCAATTAGAATTTCAGATCTGATTTCAAGGGGTAAGCATACAAATCCTCTTCAGTTAATTCATTCTCTGCTTAATGTAGTGTTTGGAGTTTTATAGTTTCCTTGTGTTAGATTCAGTTGTTATCCGCAGTTTTCTTGGCAATCTTGTATCTTGCTAGAGGAGATCTATTGGTTGAGGTTGTTGGTTGTAGTTGCATGACCATTCCTCAAGGTTGGATGTTTCTTCGATATGCTCAGCTTTGGCAATAATTGGGATTTAAGGAAATGTCCAATCCCTGTTGAGCATGGGTTTGTCTGTATTAACTCCAAATCTAGGTGTTTAAAAGTTGGTGGTTTCTTGTGAAGAATAACTCACGTGTCATGGTTCTTCGAGGTCATGGTTCTGAAGTTAGAAGTGCCTCAGTTGGTACTAAGTACTTCAGGACGATAAATGATAAAAAAAGTGAAAAGTGGGAGCCAGTATTTACAAGGTCCTCTAGCTAAGCAATACTTATCAACATTTGTTTTAAAGGAGGACTGGTTCTGTGGTCAATGATTGAGTTCCCTTGATATTAATCGGATTAGTGAAAGAACGAACATACCCAGCTTAGGTTGGCAATGATGAATTAAATCATTGCTTTAAAAATTGTCTTTTTGAAGGAGACTCCTCAAATGAAATGTTTTAGGATTATTTCTCTAACGAAGTTGAGTCCCATCCTCAACCCAAGAGAGACCACAAGTACTAGTTCAAGAGGGTATTAAGTCACATTTATGTGACTCAAATTGTTTAAAGCCAAGAATCCCAAGTGATTAAACTTTCATAAGGTTCATGGAATTGCTCATTTTGTGAGCATCAAGTCTTGCCCACAAGGTTATCGCAATCAGACCATGGTGTTTGTTTCCTTTCATTACCTCCATTAATAGTCTCATCCCGTAGGTATACAAGGATTCCAGGTCAAATCTCCTACTCTCCAAGTTTTTACTCGCAACGTTTCACGTTTGCCAAGCATAATTTAAACCCTTAATTTTGCAAAAATTCATATTGTGAAAATATAAATTGAGACTAATATTACAAGATCTCATATGACTAGATTTTGCAACAGATAAATCAATAAAGCTGGTCAAATGATAAAATGTGAAAAGTGCAGTTTCCAAACATTGCAAGTAGATGAGAATGGAGGAAGTAGTTGTTGAGTGTTTGGAAAAGCAATGGTGGGGATAGTGTTTAGTGGTGGAGGTAGCTTCTATCAAATGCTAATATCATTAGCTTTTAAATGATAAAGTAGTAGCTAATATTCTTTCTACAATATAGGAACAAAAATATCTAACAGCACAACATCTAATTTACCAAACACTCATGCTTATATTATCTACCTTCTCAGCTAACATATCTTCTTGTTGACGGTTAACAATTATTCCCACAGCTAACACAACTACTACAACCACTTACAGCTACCCCTACAGCTATGTTTTGCAAACAGGGCCTAATATAACTCTAGCTTTGTATTAACTTTCCTCTATTATTCAAAGTACTTATCATGACTTCAAGAGCTTAGATAGGAGACATTCATTCAAAAAAAAACTAGAGAAGAGACACGCAATAAATGGTATAAAATTAAATATGCTAGGGCTAACAATCCTCACTAACCTGTAAACCGAAAAGATACCAACATGAGCCCACCACATGTCCAGATAAAACAAACGTGAGCAGATTAATCACAAAATTTTCCCATGCTGACTCAAATACGAAGCCAATGGGTGATTGTCCAACTAACAAAGGTAGAAACCTATACAATCTTGGTATATACTGAACAAGAATTGCAAAACGGAGGAGATTCTTGGCATAATTTGCACCAGATGAACCCAAGTATGTAGGCAATATAAACAATATTATAATCTGCAAGGAAGGTAAAACAATAAACTAGTCAAAACAAGACGTTGGAAAATCACCAAACAAAGAGCGAGTATCTCTAATTTGTGTACTTCCACATGAATTAAATGAAAATACAAGATATATTCCACGTGTTTGCATATACATGAACACATGTATATTAATACTCAGCGCCCTCTACTGATTCCTAATATACATGAACTATATATTAAATCTTTAGTACAGTAATCCCTATGTGATTTGGACATAGTCACATTATCTATCATTCTAGGAAACACAATCTTTATAATCGTGGATAACCTTCCAATAAATTATTGATTTTATTTTCTGCTTATGTGATGCAAAAGTCACTCTTTTAAAATAAATTCAGGAAAGCAGGTATAGAAGATTGTGTATAGCATGTGGATAATGTAAAAAATAATAATAATTTGGCAAATTGTCAAAAATTCACACTTTAACACAAGATAATACAAAGTACAAACAATCTATTTTTCCTAAAATGTAACTGTGCTAATGCATGGGATAAACGAGAAAGCTATATAGTTTCTCCATGTACATGTAGCAAATATATCAAACTTGCAAGGGAACAAATATTGGAAGTTAAAGGAATTTATAATTTATTTATTTTTCTTAAAAAACAAAAAAAAAAATTAGAACACAAAAATTGAAGATTAAGATGGTAAAATGTATTGGGAAAATGACATTCTTATTGTTATACAAGACGTATTTATGATTATCATCAAAGATAATATTGTTTAATAAAATTTATTAAATTGAACAGCAAATGAGAAGAAAAGAGATCATGGGATATTTGTAAAATTAATTAAAATAGATATATACATAAAATTAGAATAAAAATAAGGGATAAGAATTCATAGGTATGACACGTGGCATATTAACATGTAAAATTCTCTTTTTAAAAATATTATTCCCTCCATCTTATAATAACTAAACACGTTTGCCTATTCATATATTAACTTTCACTATAATTTCTTACTAAGCAGTTAATACAAATTTCATTGTGAAATACTGTTTTTGGATATTTTAATAAAGTTTTATAATAAACTTTTTTATAACTTTACTCATATTTAATTATATATATTGGTCAAACCAGAGCATTGGCATGTGTACTAAATTTAACTATGTCAATTATTTTGAGATAAAGGGAATAGTATAGATGTGGAAGTTCATTAACTTTTCAATTTTATCGTTAATAAGCTAGGAAGTCCAATTGCTAACCAATGCATCACTCAATACATAGTAGTATACTACACATATGGACAAAGGGAATGATATCCACTAAAATGTTCATTCGGTGCAGTCATTTACATGAAAATTATTGTCTCAATTTGTTTTCAATCTTCATATCAAAGTTTTCGATATTTTTATCCTAGACTTTAAGTTAAGAGGAACATATATAAAATTCGTTTATCAAGAAAACTTTAGGTAGGCAAATGATCATTCTTCACTACATGTTTTGCTCTCATCCTGTGTAATTTAGCTATTTCAAATTTCATAGTTAGAAAGAATGTGATTCCTTTCTCACACTTGCTCTTTAAAAAGCTTGCTAACAATTTGTAAATTTTGGATTCCTACTATATTAATGGCTTTTATTAAAAAAAAAAAAAAAAAAAAAAGGGGGCAGTGAGTCCAAGCAATAGAAGTAACCAACAGCAACATGCAACAAGATTCCTGTTACTTTAGTCAATGTAGGCAAGACAAGTTAATCATGCCTTTAGAATGGCATGGCTTACAGATAGCTTTGAAGCCGCTTGCATATGCTATACAATGACTCATGGAGTCATGAAGTGCTTGATGGGATCCAGAGTGACCAAAGCACCAAGGTCTTAGATCGTGCACAAGCATTTGATGCCTAAGCATGAGTTTCTAGGATGGATCATGCATCTGCATAGGAGATCGATGCAAGCTATTTAATATAGCTAACAATATGAATGAGTGATGCACTTATAATATGATGAGCTTAATAGAGTAAGCCCTAAATTAAAGGCCTTTTTAAGATCATATTAGGTCTAGATATGCACTGCAATCAACCGGATTGAACCACAACCTCAGGCTATTCGTGTCTATGGAAGAAGGAAGAGACAGCAAGGCAACATTGGGGGACAAGGTCTGTAACAGGGCAGCTAGGAGAATCAACAAAGAGAGTGAGGCCAAAAGTTATTAATGAAGCACTTTGGAGAGTGGTAGCTGATGTTCTGTTTTCTGAAGGCCACCATGGCAGAACAAGACAAGAGTCTTTACTATTAGGGTACATGGATATGGATGAATGCTTGGTAGAAAAAGAAGTAGCAATGAAACAGTAGTATGCAAGAGATTTGTGAGAATGGCTGTAGAGTAGAAGTAGCTTTAATCTTCCTGAAGAGTTATAGCCTTAAGCTATATTCCTTGTAACCGTTAGTTTCAAATAGCCATTAATCAAATATCCAAGCTTTCATCTACTTACATCCTAGTTCTAGAATATTAATCTCTGAAATTCCTAGTCTATAGCACGCACTTATACTATCAATGATCTTGATAGAGTAGGCCCTAAAATTAAGTGAGAAACACACACATTTCTGAAAAGAACAAGTTACACAATCACGTGTCATATAACTAGCCTTCTTCTTAACAAAGAGGCACATAATCATGTACCATGAGTCACATGACTGTGTAGTCTCCAACATCATTTTTTTTTTGGTGTTAGAGAGCCACAAGGGCGGGGGTGAGAATCGGGAGGATATAGAGAGGAAGATATTCTAGAGCTTTGCACATTATGATATCCTTTCACCGGTATTATTGGGGAAAAGAATGCTAGTAAATTACAAGGGTAAAGTTATTTTGGCATTACTGTGTCAACATCACTGCACACTAAATTTTACTTCCTCTACTCTTATGATATCCATTCAGAACAAATACTTCTTGTTCTTAAAATACAATGCAATAAGCACCGAAAAAAAAAAAAATACACAGCATGATTCCACAATGATTCTCCAGAAAATTAAATAAAATTAAAAAAAAGGACAGTATCCGTATAGTAAGCAATCCGTGTTACATATTTCTAGTACAAGGAAGACTAATTTCATTTTTTACTCAGCAAGGCCAAAGCACACTGCTTAGTTGTAATTAACCACATTAGCATGCAAGGAGAGGGGGGAGGGGGGGGGGGGAACCTTACTTGAGGAATGGGCAACGCGGCAAAAAAGTCAATAAAAAAATATCCAGTCACATAATGACGGGCAATTTTGCTTGGCTGATCAACTAAGACTCCAGTACCAACCACCATAGATTCAGGAGCAACATAAGCCAACCGAAACTGTCATTAAACTACAGCAAGTCAGAATTTCAATATGGGAAGATCAATAGATTAAACAATAAACAAAACACCCAGTAATGTAGCTAGAATTGATTTAAAAAATATATATTTATATAAAAAAAGGACACCAAGCCTATCACATTCTTTTAAGTAAACGCACCCCTTTTTCAAGTTATTTGTAATTATTATGGATTCTTCACAGTGATGGCGGAATCAAAGGCTTTGCTCCCTAAACAAAGTTCCAAGTCCCAATACTATGCTTTTCAAGTTGTGCTTTTCTTCAGCTTAATTGTTTGGACATTTCAACCATCATGATAGTGATCCTGTAAAGTTGTCAGTGGCAGAATTCTGGCTTGTGGATAATTTTGCTAATTGGAATTCATTAGGGTCATACTCACAAACATGAACACCTCCCAAAATTCATGTTGAAAATGCCACATGAGGAAACATATTCTTAAAGAATGATAAAATAATGATATGGAGAACACTCAATGCAATACATGTAGTTCCATTTTACTAAAAATATTAAAGTATAAACCATGGGCTACTATAGTAATATATTATCTACTAGCAAATAAAAAGGACATAGAAATTGTTGACTATTTATTGACTTATACTGAGCATGAACATGTTTTCACCAAGTCACATCCCATGATAAACAACCGCAAACAAAATATGTTGACAATTTTGCAAGAATCTATTATATGATAACCTAAAGCAGCAAATGTTGATGATTCACATTACAATAATCTTAATCATTTATGACTTCTTAAGTATGAGAAATTGAATTATTTACCTGAAGAATGATATGTAATATGTAAATGAAGTCTGTAAGACTTCTGAAAACTACCAATGTGGTTGACACAGCCTTTTCCATGACTATGCACTTTGAATCCTATAAAAGAGAAGAATTATACCAATTATAGAAGTGCAGCATTATCAAAATCCCAAAATAGGACGAATAAACTTTTCCTTAAGACACGGTCCAATATAACTGGTATGTTGAATCAGTTGAGGTTTTACATCTCCAATAAGAAAGTAGTGCAGCAAGGAAAAAATAAGAATAAAATCACATATTTGTGAGTTGAAGAGAAAGTAGCATGCATTATGGACAAATCCAGCCTACATAGATTAACTAGGAAATCCATAGCCATCTTAACCCACAATGAAGCTAAAACCGTCACATTATCCCATGGAAAATCAAACAGGACGGTAATATCCTATCATCTATGCCAAACCACCAAAAGATTGCTGTCAGTGCATTTTGATAAAGAAACTTATTTGCCCTACCAAAACCCACAATTTAGAATTGTAACTCTCCCTTGAAGACGAAACACAAGATAACCTCTCTTTAATATTCACTTTTAAATTAATATTGTGATATTGCTAGGAAAGCTTACTTAATTCTTAGGATAACTCCCCAAAACATTCACCAGAATCACCACATACACATACAAAAGCATTCTAGATAACAATCATGACATACTTTGAAAAGCTCACAGAAAAAGACAAGGAAAAAAAAAATAATACTCTGCATGCACAACTCCATAAGCTTCCTTCACCTCGCACAGTCCATCCCCCCTACCTTCCCTTATGCTACAGAATCCCTTGCTCAATCAAACCCTCTTGTTTCCATTAGTAACCTGAATTTTTTCTACTTTGTATAATCCCACCAAGCAACTTATCCTCATAAAAGCCAAAATCCCATGTTCTTCCAATTAAGAATAAGCACTTGCAAATTGTATATGCAATGAACATCCGCCACTCATCCCAACTGGCTGAGTGCTAATAGAGAATTTTGATTTCATTGGAGACATATCATTATCATAACAGCCATGTGAAACCTCATTCTGCTAGAGATGTAAAACAGGCACCTTACTCATTTTGTGCACACCTTGTTGTATGTAGCAGCCATGCTTGTGCATGAAATTGAAAGTATACACTTTGATAGACATGAGATATGGAGATGGAGAAAGGAGTTGAAAGAACAAAGGGTAAAGGAAGAGAGTTACCTTTAGTACCGCTAGCACAAAGAAAAACAATGGATCAATGAAAATCGAAACAAGGCAAGAGATGACAAAAAACTTGTTCCACTTCTGTATGATTCGGGCATGAGGATTCATGACTCCAGGGAGATATGAGTACAGAAAAGAACACAATCTCTTTGCCCATCCTTTGGCATCTCCATAGAGTGCATTATGAAACTGCAAATTAAAAAATATTAAAAAAATTAAAAAAAAAAAAAATAATAACTTACAGATTGAAAGAAAAATTGATAAAGAAGTCCTGATGTTTATAGGGAGATCATAAGCTAAATCATGCATATTTGCAAGTACAGTATAAATGATAACATAACTAACCAAAAAAAAAAAAAAAAAAAAAAAAGCTGGGAACTTTTCCTCAACCTATGAGAAATCACTACATTACATAAAGCTAAATGTAGACAAAGGAGGACGTGCAATTGAAGTGAAATTCAATGTCTAACAACACGCAGCCTTTCTTGTTTCGATTCCATTTCAGCAGGATGAAATCAGATATTTCACTTAATATGGAAAAATGTACTAGTAAAGGAATTTATGGAAAAAAAAATGGCTAAACTTCGCTTTTAATTTAATAGTGCAAATGAAAGACACGTCTGCATGCCTTTAAAATAAACTAGGAAGTAGCAAGGCTGTTCTAACAACATGTGCAAAAGAATATTGCCCCAAAAAAATTTACAGCAAGTAGATAAATAAATATTTACATACAAGCTTCCAGCTATCATTGTCAACATTAGCATCCTACTCATTAACTAAAAACCATGTCTACTCTTATTCATCTTAGGGAGATAAAATATGTTAACAGGCAGTTATAGAGCACTTAACTTACTACATATATTTGACAAACATGTACCAGTCACATTGTTAACAGCCAGTATATAAAGCACATAACTGATGAAGCAAGATGTCATATAGCACTAGTATTAAGATCTCAAAACTTATGCAACTATTTATTTTTATAGTAATCTGTAGAAATAAGAATTATACATTAATATCAACTAGAGAATACAAAATATGAAGACAAACTGCTCTCAAACAGAAACTACGGAAAAATACAAAACTAAGCCACTCATATAGGTAAGGCAATTGACAGATTGAATTTGAGACAGTCTGACAATTAGAACACTTACATGTCACATCTACACAAATAGAAAAAGCATATTGTCCACATATTGAAACTGGAGGAAAGAAATTGAAATTATTAACATCCACAATTAACATATCTACATGATGTACACAGTCAAACAAATTGGTAAATCACTGTTGCAGATATTTGGATAATAATGGACTAATCAAAATCGCTCCTTAGGGCACGCTTGGATTGAGAGAGATGTATTACTAAGGTAATAAAAGTCAAACTAAGCAAAATGAAAGTGAATATAAGGAAGGAAAAGATAGTGATTAAGGAAAATTATGTAGTGATGGACCATTTTGGGGTATGAAGTGCTCATTTTGGGGTAATAGTTACACTAGGAGGAGGGTGGGTAGCTATTACCCTCAATATTAAGTAATAATTCCTCCATCTCTCTATTTTCCTCTTGGCACAACCACTTTATTTTATTTGTAAACACATTGGCTCCTACAAGAACACCTCTAATTACTTATGTTTTTTTCAAGTTTGACTTTTATTAACTCCTTAATATATTACCCCCAATCCAAGCAAGGCCTTAAAGTATTTGCATTTCCACTAATTGTGAAGTAACAGAACAATGTTGCATAACAGATTAAAATTGCTAAGTACACCTCTGTTGTTACAATGGTAAGGATACATATATTTGACCCCCACCCCACTTTGAATAAGATCTTCTTTAAAGGTATTTGGATAACATTATCATTGATTTTGAAGCTACCTATATGGCTCCTAGGATATAGTAGCACCCCAACGAGCAACAATCAACCACTAGAACACTGAAGTAATGAAGAAAGGGAAAGAACCAAGATGAGAACAATGAAAATGGGTGCAATGAGCCCAAAAATAAGTAAAGCAAGAAGCAGATTAGATGCATAAAATATTCCATGTTCATCTAGAGCTAGAATAGTATCACAAAATAGAGAAGCCATTCAAAATGATGCATTTCGAGAATACATGAGAAATCACCTTTGTATCAAATATATCAGAAGTCCTCCTAAATTTTCCCTGCGGAAGCCTGTAATTGTAATATGAGGGACAAGTTGTACAGTAAGGGTCATTGCACATTCCCAGTTGACCAGATCTCAATAGATGTTCGTTTTTCTCAGGGTAACTATCATGAACCTGTTCATTCTTGATTATTCCATTATTCACAGGATACTTGTGATTCAACTGCAATTTTTTATCAGTAGATTCAGATTTGTCATCATAAGAATTTTCTGCCTTACTTCTAACATACAAAGGACCACTCATCTGTACAAATGAAGTTCTTTCACTTCTTAAAGGACCAGTATGTCCTAAAAAATTACTTTCCCGCCAAGACTCTGAAGAGCTCATACGAGCAGACATAGATGCACTTCGAGCCCGTGATGTAAAATTATAGAATGAAGAATCTTCTGGATCATCGGAAATTAGTCGAGGGTTAACAGACAACATTGACACCTCATCCCTTTCATTTTCATTAGCATCCATATCAATGCTCCCGAACCTGCCAAATTTTAACAAAGAACGGTGCCACATGTAAGTCATAGTCCCTCAATTACAATAGCAAGTACAGAAATTCACAATTCTACTAGAGTTGTAGAAAATTATAACTTGTTGGTGCTATGGCAGTTATTGTCCCTAAATGAACACCACCTTATTAGAAATTAAAATTGGGTGTGTGGCTGGGGGATAGACATAAAATCATATCATATATGAAGAAAGCATAGCCAGGTTGTCTCAGTGAAGACTATAGACTAACCAAAAATTGAGTACACAAGCAAATTAATCCAATGTTTTCTTTGAGAATTTTGTGACAGTTAACTTAGCCGTTTAAGAAAGATTTTTTTTAAACACATAAAAATAAGGAATAGAACCAAAACTGGTATGGTTATCTCCTAACAGTAAAGGATGTTGAGGTAGTTAAAAGCAGCTAGACACCTGGATCTATTCGGCCTCAGATCTCATCCAGGCCGCATTGTCACAGTGTCGCTGTGATATTGGTATCTGACTAATCTGAGTGACCCACCGCTTCTCTAATTGGGACAAACATGGGGCAGGAGTTGTTAAGCCAATATCAGTAAACATTATTCTGGCTATTGCCTACATGGCAACTCATCAGAAAATATCATTTCTAGTTTCGGACTAGGGCATCAGACCACATCTTTTAATTATGTGATGCCAATGTTCCACCTGTAAGCATAGTTGTGCACAGCTATGTGTGGCATTGTGGGAGTGAGTTTTCCAACCATTTTAGCTCACAAAGGTAGAGAAGTAATTCAGGGACATAATGTTTCCAGACTTTCAGTTCCAGACTCTAGGCAAGTCATTACATATGCATCAAGTCTATTATGGGTCGACTCAAATCAATTGCAGATTGGACTCCGGTCTTAGATTATTGGTATCAGTTTCTGATACTCATCAGGTCATAACCAACTCCTATGTCATAATTCGTAACCAGGTTGGGTGCAGGTCAATTACAGAAGTTTCACAGGTCGGGTCAAAAACTGACATCTCCATCACAAACGGAGTACCTTTGTGACACGGTGAAGACGTAAAAACTTACCTAAAAAAAGTTAATTACTCGTACCACTTTACAGTAATCATTATCATCACAAACTTATTATTAGAGCTGAGCAAAAATTAGGATACCCTGATCCGGAACATGTTAGGAACCGCAGGTTCCGAATCCGAAACCTGTACAAGAGGTTCCGGTTCCGAGTAGCAAAATAGGGAACCTATTGTAATAGGTTCCAGTTCATGTTCTCAATTTTTTGGAACCGGAACGTGTAGGGTACCTTGTAATCTAATAATAGTATCACTTAAATTCAAATTTTACACCAATTTTATACTATTTTTTTAATTAATAAATATCAAAATTACAATTATAAATATAAATATATGCATTACAAATTTTCAATAATTACTATTGGTTTGTTTTGTTTGCGAGTTATAAACATTATATTAGTAACCATCTAGTTTTTTACACAAAAATCTGCAAAAAAAAATATTAAATATATTACAAGACAGGGTACCCTAAATTGGAACCAAAACCTATAGGTTCCGGTTCCCAATTTCGAGGACATGTTCAACAGGTTTAGGTTTAGGTTTCGGTTCCGGTTCCCAAGCAACAGGTTCCGGTTCCGATTCCAAGAATTTTAACGGGTACCTTGTTATGCTTATTACTCACCAACAAGGTCTTGGTCTAATGGTTAAGATTGAGGGAATGTTTAAACTTTAAATCCCCACCCTCGTTTGTAATGGTCTCGTGGCTCATTCGCAATATTAAAAAAAAAAAAAAAATGAGGTGTCTATAATTTTGAAGCACAAAAGCCCAAGAATGGTCGGGAATCTGAAATTCCGCCGGAATTGGTGACATGGCAAGAAACTTACAACAGAAGCTAACATTCTTTAAATTTTATTAATCAGAGCCAAAAAAAAATAATAATAATACTCATAATAATAATAAAATAAGAAAAACAATTACGAAAATTTAGGGCGATATTAATAATTTGGATTTTTTAATGGAGACAAAATCAATACAATTACTGCAAATTGAAGAAGTCATCTGCAAGAAATAAGCAAATAAAAAAACAGAAACAACCACCAACAATAACGACAACCTAACTTCAGAAATCTTTAATTATTACATTCAACTAATTCTTCATAGCATAATTCTTCAGATTAATTAACAAAGGCAAATTCAAAAACACTACAAAAATTCAACTCAAAATTGACAACATAATGCAGAAATCAAACATTAAAGATGAAATTAAGAAAAATAAGAGGAATTCGAGTAGAAGACCTGGAGAATTCAGCTGTTATGAAATGAAATTGAGTAGCGTCTTCTGTAACACAGTATCAACTGTATTGTGAGTTTGGTGGGTATTAAGAGAAGAAAGGAGAAGGTAATTGATGTCTTAATTGAGAATTTTAAAAAAGAAAAAATAAAGTATGAGAGTGTGACAACTTTAATAGTTTAATAGACTGGGTTTGACTTAAGGCTGACTATTCTATGCGTCAATTTTAACTGCCGTGGTAATCCAAATGTTGTGGATGTAAAAGCATCATTATTGGTGAACACAAAAAAATGGTTCATGGGTCACTATCACCATTTCTCTCTCATCCATATCAACCCAACAAACCATTTACAATATTCACTCTTAACAATGAACACTAAACAATGGTTCATCATCAATACTCCCTACCCCACCTTATTTTATTTTTGTAAATATAATCTTTTTTGTTTCATAATTATAATTTATTAACCCGATGTCAATGTAATTAATTGACGTATTTAATATTTTAATCGTGATTACCAATTAAGAAATTATCGCATTTTTTTATCAGCTTTTTAAAAAACTAATTCTTGTGATTAATATTTTTTAAACAACAACGCAGCTAATTTTAATTAACAAAAAAAAAAGGTACAAATCGTGATTACAGTTCTACAACTATAATCTAGTACATTTTATTTAAAAAAAAAACAACTACACATCGTTTTGTAAGATGTCCTTAGGAATAACCATTTGTTGTAAACCTAGTTGCCTAAGTTTTCGTTGTTACCAAATTTATTTCATATATGTTCGACCAAGTCGTTTTTTAGCTGCAAATGAGTCTGTTGATCCTCAATCTCTGTTCTACGAGACAAGTATAAGCCGATATCCACAATACGATCAGTACGGTACTCGGTAGTGTCCTCATTAGCGTTGCCTCCAGCATTCATAAACTCATTGGTATTAACGTTATTTTGATACGTCTCTCGTTCATCTTCAACGATCATATTATGTATTATGATGCAGGCGAGCATGATATTGTGGAGTATGTCTGTATCCCACGCCAAAGACGGCTTTTTAATAATGGCAAAACGAGCTTGAAGGACCCCAAATGCGCGTTCAACGTCTTTCCTTGCAGCTTCCTGGTGTTTTGCGAATAAACGATCCTGACGAGTTTGTGGACTCGTAATGGATTTCACAAAAGAAGCCCATCTAGGGTAGATTCCATCAGTAAGATAATACCCATTCGTATAATGATGACCATTGACTACGAAGTTCACAGGAGGTGTTCGACCCTCTAAGATGTCTTCGAACACAGGGGATCGATGAAGCACATTAATATCGTTGCAGCTACCTGGCATCCCAAAGAACGAATGCCATATCCATAGATCTCTGTCCGCAACTGCCTCCAGTACGAGAGTTGCAACTCCTTCTCTTCCTTGATACTGCCCCTTCCATGCGTGTGGACAGTTCTTCCACTCCCAGTGCATACAATCAATGCTACCTATCATGCCAGGAAATCCACGTTCTTCCCCAATACGTAGCAATCTTCCCATATCTGCGATGTTTGGACGGCGTAGGTACTGATCACCGAACAGGTTGATGACACCTTCTGTAAACTTTTGGAGTGCCAATCGTGAAGTTGCCTCACTTATACGGACATACTCATCACAAGCGTCTGAAGCACACCCGTAAGCTAGTTGTCTAACGGCCGCAGTGCACTTTTGAAGTGGAGACAAACCAAGACGACCTGCCGCATCTCGCCTTTGTTGAAACCAGGGGTCATGTTGGGTCACTGCGTTGAGAAGGCGCTCAAACACATGTTTACGCATTCGAAACCGGCGTCGGAACAAGGAACTTGGATAAACTGGGACTTCCGCGAAATAGTCATTGTATAACCGTGCATGACCTTCTTCGCGTCCCCTATCCTTTCGGGGCTCAGTAGATTTGCGTCGGCGTTGCTGAGTGGCAGCTTGAATAATTGGTGGAATGTACTCATGCATTACGTGTTGTATCATAAGACACACTTCATTACGTTGTTGAACTCTAAGCTCCCTTCCCTCATCATTCGAGTTAGATGAAGATGAAGAGGAATCGGTTGAGCTTTCGTTTAAACTGTTTGAATTCATTTTGTACGTAAGAAATGTAAGATAGAGTGAGGTTTGCTAATAGTAACTGCAAACGTAAGAATTCATTTTGTTCCGAAGTATTACTATCATTTCGTCTTCCCACTGTTCTCGGTTTACTTTCTGTTCTAGACGAGATAGTTGCTCCCAGTTGATCCTATATTGCTCTAGCTCAATTTTCCGTTGTTTCCTTGCCTCCTTGCGCTCCTGTATTTCAAGTCTCTTCATTTCTGCTTCGTTTGACACATTCATCGAATCCCCAAGTAGCTGCAATCGGCTGTTGAATGTTTCTAATTCCTTAAATGCTTGACTTGATGGAGCTTTACCCTTCAATCTCGACTTAGCCTTTTTAATACCTTCAGCACGAGCTACTCTCTCATCACCGACACCCACGCTGGTTGGTGTGGTAGGTGAGGAATTGTCACCCTCATCCCGTGTCCTCTTCCCACTACTTCCGCTCCCTACAGACTCATCCGTCAGTGGAGTTGAATGTGGACGTCCCACCGAAGGCTTGAATGTTTGTTGGTCCAAGAAAGACCGGAATTTGTCCCACTTCCTTAATTGGATCCATTCCTCGTAGAAGGTGAATCGTCCGAATGAGTTCTCATGGATTTTGTGGGCCTCTTGGATAACATCATCTTCGTTATAGCCACTTCCCTTTCGCTTCCGGGCCTTATCATAGCTTCTGCACCACTTTAACACGGCTTCAGAGATTCGCATCCACCTTCCCTTCAAACTACTAATAGTTCGTAGGGATATTTCATCTGCATTCGATTCCCTGGCAGCATCGTATGCGTCCAAGACTCTCTTCCAAAATACACCCTTCTTTTGATTTGTGCCGGTAATTATGTCGGTGCTGGTGTTCATGTAGCTGGATATTTGGAGTGGTTGCTGTAACATTTGAGTGAAGTTTTGATGGGGAGAAGGAGTTTCATTTCCCTCACCATCATCCTCGCATTCTTCATTTGCCTCATCTTCTTCAGATAAGACATTGCTCGATTCCCAAATATTGGGATTCGGTTGTTGTGACGGAAAATAACAAGATGCAGCACCATATTCACCGTAACCCATTGGTATCATGGATGGATGTGGGAAATTTGAACTGCTTTGAGAAAAATTAAAATTTTGAGGGAAATTTGGTGGATTATTTGGGAAACTTGACTGGGGTATTTGAGGATAAACTCCAGAAAAATTATGGGGAATATTTGTGGGTGTTTGTGAAAAATTTGGGTGAATTGGAGGAAAATTGGCTTGATTCGGGATCATATTTTGACCCAAATTTTTTTTCTTCTTTCTATTTGTTTTGGGGTTGGTATTAGCATCCATAATTATAATTTATATTTGGAAAAAATAAAAATTTAATAATAATAATAATAATAACAATAATAATAAAATAATAATAACGATAATAATAATAATAATAACGATAATAATAATAATAATAATAACGATAATAATAATAATAATAATAATAATAATAACGATAATAATAAAAATAATAATAATAATAATAATAATAATAACGATAATAATAAAAATAATAGTAACGATAATAATAATATTAATGATAATAATTAAAAATAATAATAACAATAATAATATTAATATTGGTATAAATAATAATAATATTGGTAATTATAGAGGGGATTTTTGAAGAGAAAAATATAGTAGAAAAAAATGAATTTTCAAAGTTGAAAAAAGTATATCAATATGGGTGTCTATTTATAGAGGGGGAAAAAATAGAGTCGTTGGTAATTTTTTTTTTTTTTTGATTTGTATTTTGTAAAATATATCCGTTGTAAAATTACAACGGATATATTTAAAACAGTACACACGTGTCAAGCAGCGGCTGGGCCAAGTGGCGCGCTCCCAGCCGCTGATTTCTATTTTTTTCTGACCTTTAACAGCAAAACGACGTCGTTTTGCAACATGAAACAGCAAAACGACGTCGTTTTGCATGAATATCAGTCCAAAATATTGGTGGGGCCCACAGCGAATTAATTCATGCAAGTGCTTGCTCCTGCAATCGAACCCATGACCACTCAACATGAACAATTAAAGAGTTTGCCATTAAGCCACCACCTTATTTGTTCACTCATTGTGAACTATTAAAATGTTCACCCTTAAAGATGCTCTAACATTACTCTGTCATTAAAGACTCGTCCCCTCTACCTAGATTAGAGATAAGCTAAAATATGGTCTCTAAATTTTGTTATTAGTTACTTCATATATATCTGGTCCTTCGTCTTTCTTTTTTTTTTTTTTTTTTTGACAGAAGGTCCTTCGTCTTTCATATAAGGTAAATTGGTCTATCTATTACTCTTGTCTCGCCATCTTTAGTGGAGGGACTTTTGAGTCAGTAATATTTAGGGAAGTCTGCTTTTTAGCGTCGAGTCAGAAAGTTTAGGGAGTGGGAGTGATGACTAAGCGAAGTTTAGGGACTAAGAGTGATGACTAAGAAAAACTTTAGGGACTTTAAAATTAATGTTGAAGAATTTTTGTACAACCAAAGTAAAATTAAGCTGCTACTCTTTGTACTCTTTGGATGGATAATTTGTTAGCATTATCCATTTAAATAAGAAAAATGAATTTAAATATAAATAAAAAAAATGCTTATATCTTTCAAAAAAAAAAAAACTTATTATGTATATTTTCAGTGAATTTGATATAATTTTTAAAAATATCTTAATTAATCTCTTATAAATTGATATAATTAATTTTTTTTGAAAATAAAATGTCTTTGCCTAATTATTAATCCCTAATATCAACATGGTCCAAATGTCCAATCATTATGGAATTCATTAAAATATGGACAAGTCCCTAAACTTCCCTTGCAATGATGAGCTCGGACACATAAGCGTAATTGGTCCCTAAACTTACAATAGTATAATAAATTGTGCCAGCTAGTCATCTTGTTAGTTCCTAAACTTTCATTGTTTAGTAAAGTGAATGTCAACTCAACATCATAAGGTCCATCAACTTTCTTTAAAATATTACTCCCTCTATTTTTAAATACTTGCTTCATTTCTATTTTTTACACTATTTATTCGTCCTACTTTGACTAATGTTTGTGATTTATACATAAGAAAAAATATAATCTTGTGGATACTTGTTGGAATCATCTCAATTAATAGATTATTAAAATTCAATTGTTAGAATTTATACTTATTGGTAATTAAAGATATTATTGATCAAAGATTAGCATCGGCATTCGTGCCCAAGAGAAATGGAGCAATATTTAAAAACGAAGGGAGTATTTTATATTTTGCCACATGAAAATTTTTAGGTACTGCCGCATGTATCTTGCTTGGTATAGACAAAAAAACGCGAAAAGAATATTTACTACCTTCGTTAAATGTTATGTGCAACTTTGGAGGGAGTTAACGGAAAGTAATTAAAGAAAGGGAAGAGAGAAAATGGGACCACCCTACTTAAATAAGGTGGGGAAAACTGATTTTATTTGGAGGGAAAGAGAAAATGGGACCACCCCACTGATTTTTAAGTAAGGGTATATCGGTCTTTTAAAGTTTTTTTGTTTTCTAAAATAGGAAAGAAAATGAAAAGTTGCACATGACCTTGATTATCTGTTTTTTGCAAAAGTTGCACATAACATTTGACGGAGGTAGTAACTATTTTATAAAGAACATCCATGATATATATATATATATGTATGTATATATATATATATGTATGTTTATATATATATATGTATATATATATGTATATGTATATATATATATATATATATATATATATATATATATATATATATATATATATATATATAAAGAACATCTATAATATTAATAATGAACATGATAATATTATGTACTCCCTCCGTCATATAATACTTGACACAGTTTTCATTTTTGTCCGTCCGATAATACTTGACACAGTAGGGTCATAATGTCGTATTTCAAGTTCACAATAATATTAAACGTTATACAAGTTTTAATAAAGGTTACTATGTTATAAGTAAGGTTACTATGTTAAAAATAAGGATCACTATATTCAATATAATGTTTGTTGCGTGTGTGTAAACCTCGACTCCACAATAATATTATTGTGCACCAGGTCCACGCAAGTCTTTTTGTAGAAAAATAATTACTAACAATAAATCATATTAGTGCATGTTTATTGATACGCTAATTTAGATACATGTATGTAATCCCCCATAATTTTAGAATAAATTATTATATATTCCTCTATTATTTAAATAAATATTTTACTTTTTTTTCATTAAATAAATTAGTTTATGCAAAATTTATTTGAACTATGTTAAATTAATAAGCATTAATCTAATTTAAATTCTTTTTCTATGCACCAACATATTGTATCAATGGTATTAGTAGCCCAAATGTAAATAAATAGAGCTTAAATATATAAAGAGAAAGGGGGTTTTGGTTGATAAATTTGTGTTTTCCCAAAATGCCCTTCTCAATTTCCTAATTTACTTTTATTTTAAGAAATTAACTTTCCACTAAAAAAAAAAAACAATCCATTAAAAAAAAAATCTTAACAGCATATTATTTTTACGTTTTTTTTACAAAAAAATTCACAATATATTGTTTTTTTTCTTTATGATAGCTATAGTAAATGGATAATTATAATAGTCATTTAAAAAAAAAAGGAAAACAGTTAAATAGCTTAAATTATCTAAAGATTTTTTTGTTAAAAAGAATTTAAAATAATAAAACCACACAGTAAAACACGTTCCAGTTGCCAGTTGGTCACTTACAAAAAAATATTCGAATTTTTAAAAAAAATTGATCCTGTAAGGTTATGTTCGGCAAAATATACCTGTGAAGTTAGTTGTAGCTGTGGAGATAGCTGTGAGCTGTGTATGTAGCTGTTAGCTATCAACAAGTTGTTAGCTGTGAAGATAAATAATTTAGATATGAGGGTTCGATAAAGTAGCGGTTGACTAGCTATTACATATAAAAATCAACATTTTATTTTTAAAACTATAGATTAAATTTTCAACAGCTACCTCAAAAGCTACCTCTTATTTCAAAAGCTAATCTTTCTAACTTTTCATAAAAGCTACCTGTAGACACCCATTTGTGTCTCCCCAAAACCAAACTCAGTGATGAGTACCTTTCACGTCGAATCATAATCGAATGAAGTATGTAACACCCCCAAAATTCGAGTCTTTAAAAACAATAAGAGTAACCTTTAACTTTCAAAAACCCAACCATCGAACTCTGGAAGTGTTATTGCTACACTTATTTTCCGTAGAAAATAAGTGCAAAGCAAAAATAACATAATATTTAAAATAACTAAGTGGTCTAAGTTGTGGCAAAATAAAATAGTCATTACATCAAAACTGCAATTATTTGAAACCAATAATTGAGAGGAAATAATTAAATTCGGGGATATACTAAATTTTCTTAGTTACGTGATTATTAGAACGTCTCCTCACACGTAACCGAGTACCCTTTTTACCAACCTGCAAAATAAATCAGAAACAAGAAAAGAGAGAAAACTCCCAAAAATCAGATAAACTGAGTAATTCCAACTCCATCTCGTAAAATAAATAAATTTTATTTCAAAACAGTTTATACATAATATAGTCTCATAAATATTTTAATACTCAACAAGTTCAAATAGTCACATAACATATTATTACTTTATTTAAGAAAGGGAAAGAGAACGCCAGTAAGCCGGGACTAATCCATGTCACCACCTACTTTACAGAGGGTCGCGCGTAACCCCTATTGGCCATAAAATAAAATAGAATGTCCCTAGTGTGCACACCCCTCACTAATACCCAGTGATTAGGAGGAAAACTAACAACAATATACAATAAATTAAACCAACTAGTAGCAACCATCACTACTAGTGGGCAACCTGTTCTTCACCCTTTCGGGTTTCATTTCCCTTCTTAATTAAATTTCACTGTACATTTTATTCGATTATATCATCCAATTACACTGTACACAAGTATTGCACAAATCAATTTAATTTCAAGTAGCAACACTTCAATTTCAGTATTATTAGACCATAGTCATCCTACATGACATATAGACCATCAATCACGTATAATCAATCATCCAATACCCAAGATTATA